TTTGCCAGGGACTTGCCACCAGTGGCTCTTCTGTGCCATTGTCAGTGAGGAATCAGCTCTACTCCCCTCAGCCAAAACATCCTCAGGACAACACGGATGTTTCCCTACTCACTGCAGGTGCCAGGGCATTGCCTGTACCCTGGTGATCCACAGCCTTCCTGAGAGGAGAGGATGGACCATTTTGGGTTTGTCCAAGCACACAGCACCATGGCTGGAGCTGGGGTTTGGGTACCTTCCCTTCCCACCCCGGCTCACCGCAGAGCCTGGAAGGAGCAGGCGCCCAGCCAGCTCCTGTTCAGCAGTGGCTTCCTTGGGAACCTTCTCTGTTGTGACAGCTCAAGCATTAGAGGGACTGCCAGAACCAAACCACTCAAGGAGGAGATCCCCTCCCCCTCCTGACATTGACAACCGAGGCAGCAGCAGGCACCACCGCGTGCGGGAGCCGATGTAAATGTCACCGAGGCACAGGCTGATGGAGGACACCGAGGCGTCCTTCCCCCACCCTGGAGGTGAGGCTGGGCTGGGTTGCTCTGTGTTTTTGTTGTTCCCCTCCTCTGGTCTGTGCCTGCTGCGATCTGACAGGCTCTAATGGCTCAGCATGAACCAGAAACGTCACTCTGGGCTGTACTGATGGTGGTGTTGCTCAGGGACGAAGGGCTCAGCCACCCACCCCAACGCGTGGCCCTGAGCCACCTCACCCTCAGCTCTAACCTTCGGGTCTTTGCTGTTTCCCTGTCACTCAAAAGCTGCATTTCCTCATCTCTCTCTCTCTCTCCAACTGACACAGCCAATCCACAGGGCAACTTTTATGTTTAAAGCAACACCACCAGTTTCTCAGGGACAAGGGGCACAAGTGGAAGAGCTCACACAGCCAAGTGCTGGTCATGATGCTTTCTCAGCTGTGAAATCCATGACAAGACCCACCTCCTCTCTGTGCCAGCACCAGAGGGGGTCCCCATCAGTCTCCTCTCCTGCAGCAGCAAGGCCTGAAGACTGAACTCCTCCCAGCAGGCACATTCCTGACATCCTGCTCCCATTTTGCTCAGAGACAGGAGCCATCTTGAGCCCTTTGCAGACTTGTTCCTGGCACTGCCAACAATTCCATCAGAGACAAGTGAATTTGTCAGTCAGGCTGTGACTGTTCCTCCCCCACATCCCAAAGCATATCGCTCCTCTCCCTCCCCAACCCAATCCCCTCACCCAAATTACAAATAACACCTCATTTTCTGGGTCCTTCTACCCATTTCCACCCACGATTCAAACAAACACTTGGCTTCCAACCACTCACTCCAAGATGTGACCCAATTAGCTGATTGCCAATTCCAGCTATGGATGCTCATCGCTTTGTGAGAGCAGAGCTGTCTTTTAAAGCAATAATTTATATCAGACAGGATTTGAAATGAAGAGGCCTCAAAAGGCCTTTGGCTGAAAGGTGTCCAAGAGGAATTTTTATGAGAAGAGTTCAGATGGATTCTCTAACCATCAGACTGGTTTTCCAACTCTTCCTTAAGGACTGCAGCTTGGAGGGCAGGGAAGTATTTGGGAGGTTTTGCAGGAGGTGCCCAGAGGAGAAAGTGAGTTTGTGAGATCCTTTAGCAAGGGATCAGCTCTGGCTCTAAACGTCAGTGTCCGACACACCACGGTGAGTGTGGGACGTGTTAAGGCAGTGACTGTGCTGCTGCTGACAGCAGGAACATCTTGGAACATCAGTCACTAACAGGGTGACTCAGGCAGGTGACCTTGGGTCTGCCCCACAGCCCACGTCACCAGGGCTCTGCTGCTCAGGGCAAGAGGCTGTTTCAGCAGAGCTGCAAGGTGAGGATGGGCTGTTCCCCTGCAGAGCTCAGTGCCTCGCCCTCGCTCACCTCTGACTC